TCCACTCAAAGTTCACATTAATCCCTAGCTCAATTGTTAATTTTGATACTTAATGTAGACTCGTTGTGGTAGGTACGAGCAATTAGAATATTTTATAGAATTCAAAACGTATTTAAYTTTTTTTCAGAACTTTCATCATATTATTTATCCTACTTTATTTTTATTTCATGATTATTATAGATATTAATGTGTATTTTATAAAAAAAAAAAAAAAAAAAAAACAGAAGTACAAAATAGATAAAATCGTTATTGTTAGTTCGACGTGAGAACGTGTCGAAAAAATGTACACAAGTCTTAAAAGAAAATATATTGATAATATGTATGTTTCTCATGATGTTGTTCTAATAGACCAGAATATGACTAATATGACCTACTAATTAAATTGTGTTAATGTAAAAAAAGTTTTTTATGATAATATAGTGTTCACAAAACACAAAAGAAAGTTTGCTCTTTAATATAGTGTATTCTTTATAATATTCATTGTTATTGTTTCTAGTGTTTCTACACAATAACAACAAAATAGAATCAACTCAAACAATATTGTCGTGATCGAGATGAAAATTGTAAAAATCCAAAGCAAGCTGGGACGCCAGATGTGGGTACATATTGTCTGTTCGAGGGATAAAACCTGTTTTTTTTTTTGTCGTGGGTGTTTGGTTGTTTGGAGACCGACTTGGAAGGCCTGTAAAGGCTGCCTGTTGTATCCGTCTATATATTGTATAGCATAGTAGCAGGTGTGATAGCCTATAGCTATGCATGCAACCTTAACATCTGTGCATGGGGGAAAAATACCGATCAGTTATTGAATACGTCTGGACCCTTTTCAGCAGGTAAATCGTTTCTCAGCTGTTACGGGATAAAGTTGCCTGATAATACTACTATAATTCTACCTATTTCATATGATGTTGCATTACGTGATGTGCACTGTGCGTGTACCTTCTTTGTGTACGAAAATTAATAATATCCATATACCTAWGTTATAATGCTCTCAAATCTTTTCGTATGCACATATATAATATTCTGTATAATATATTTATATCATTGTTGAATGTATTTCAATTGGCTTTATGCGATAAAGATAGTTGTTTTTGTGGCTCGGCCAGTAATTTATATTTTTTCATATTTTATTATTACATAATTATTATTTTACTACGTTTTTCTTGCGGCCTTCTAAAATGGTTCTCATTTAATTTTTATTCTCCCTTTAAACTTTTGCTGTTAGTCCTATGTTTTATATTTCTTTTGTTCTCGTTTGATAGAAGTGAGGCGAATAAGAAAGAGACTATTTATAAGATATGGTTTTATTGTAGTAATTATTACTAGCAAGTGCCCTTATAGTATTACACAATGATTTGTACTTCTATATTTGCTTTTACAAATATACACTTATATTTAATCTTTACATATTAGACTAAGTCACCTRCCAGTGAGGCCTCTGTCGTAACTTTTAAGGTTGCCCTGGTTTTGTATCAGTATAAATGTATAATCAACGAACCAAAACACATTCGAACTGGAGCCGCCCCATATAGACGTTATGCTTCAACTGCATCTATATACCCACATGTAGATTTATAGATGTTGTAATTTCTGTTGTCTRCATTTATTTAATACTTATAGACAATTTAATAAATCATACTTATTATAATAATAGAAAAACTTTCGTTATGTTTAAGTCATTTAATATTTATTATTTAGTAACTAAGATAATTTTTTTATTTTATATTCTCGTATCGTTTCATCTTATAGTATACATTCAAAGTTTAAATGTTACTAAATAACATATAATTTAAAACGTTTAAATGTATATTGATGGCTGTATTTATATACATTATCATTACTTAGCCTAAAACATGATTTTCGCATTTAGTCAGTACTTTCTAAAAATATATTGAATTCAAGTGATGAAACCCAACAAAAATCAATAAACAATATCGAATCGTCCTTTTATCAATAAATAATATTTTTTAATTACTTTAATGTTTTCGATTTTAGACTATTATTATTATTGGTAAGAAAATTATATAATACTCCCTAATGACGAAATGCTTATTGTTATAAAGTATCTTTTTTTCTCTCTCTACCTATGTGCGTGGATCACCATTAATGGCTGTAGAACGTTTAATATAGTWGTGATATACGTTTTATAAATGTTGTATGATGTACCTACGTTGTAAATATTCTAAAATAATGTATTTGAGTGTTTGACCATAGTACAGTTGTTATTAAAAACACAATAACAACTTTACATAATTCGGTGCAAAAGTCTTGGCGGTTAATAATGACTAAAGTGTCTTATTGCTGAAATTTGTTCATCACGATAGAATCTCGAACGATTGAAAATTCGACATTTTTAGCAAAGTATTATTTTTCCCTTACTAGGCTGACGCACGCCCACGTCTTGTGATATAACGAGGAAGTATATTATACAAAACAAAAAATTGGAATTTCGAAATAGACAAACTTTTGCGCATGAACACTTTTAGTTAGTTTATAGATTACAAATAATATTATTGTCGTGGGTCAATGTTAACATTATCGTGCCGCTGCGTGTACACAAGTATACGCATAACGTGTGGTGAACATATATATATATATATATATATTATACAACTACGCCGTTAAGTTGATCAAACCATATTTAATTTAGTGATCCGTTCGAGTAGAGTTTTGTGTGCTATACGCATTTAATATATAGTGGGGCGGACAACGGGTACAACAACCTAGTCAGTCGTCGCTGCTGCTACATTAAATGAATCGATATTTACGTCGCTCGCATACCATATAGGCCTCCGTGTTCTGAATGTATATCGTCGTTTAGAAGCCAACAGTTCCCAGCAACGTCCTGTGTCAGAATGGCATGTAGGTATATTATATAGAATGTGTATTTGAGTGTAGAAGGGTCATTGTTCACGGGGTATTTTTAATGAATATTATTATTATGTAAAAAAAAATAATAATAACCTAACCTTATAGTATATACTTATGTGTGTACCTAAATAATAAACACAAACCCGAGGAGAGAAAGACAACCCACTAGAGAATTCGACTGCGGTACTCTGCTGCAGTACATGCGCATGCGTATACCGTTATATGAGGCATAACACTAATTTCCCACGAAGAAAACCATCGTGTGACCAGACGCGCGTTTCAAATAAACAGTTTCAACTCCCTCCCTCTACTAATCGAACGTTTTATAAACTTGTATCTTATGATATTATATATTAGATACTTACTTGAATTTATTATTCGCTCTCATTATACAAATTCGGGTTAAAAACCTATTCTGTCAATAAAAGATGATTATAATACGCGTATGAACAAGAACTCTTGTGACGCGCGACGACGCAGCACTTAATAATTTTTTTTATTATTATTAGCTATGTATTATTATTATATTTTTGTGATGCACATGTGTTGTTTTATTGTTGAATTTTGTATTATGTGTGTGTACAACAGGGAGGCCATGTATTATTAGGTATTCAGATATATATACATGTATACGGGTGTATGTGTGTTTCGTGTATGCATGCTTATTTGTGGTTGAGAATTCTAACCGATGCTAGTGGTGGTCGGCTGCTGTATGTAAGATTGCAAGCTGTGGTATGTCAGCCACCTGCTGGATTGTAACAGGCAGTAATCGAGGCTCCGGTACAGGTGTCYGCAAAAGTAGTACCTTATATGTTAAGTAGAAATCGTATAAAAACAAAAATAACATCGATATGTTTTGATATATAATAGTTAAATTGGTATATATTCGTATGTATAAATAATTAATAATAATTATATATTTATAATTTATATATGGTTGCGTGTGGGGAGTGAAACGATTGTAAAGGAACCGCGGCGAGAGTAGGAGATACACATCTTTATCAGACCAAATAATATGTGCAGTCTGAAAACGGTGTATGTGCCTGGTAGCGCTCGTATAGAAGTTATTAAATGAATATATTATGTCCTTGAAACTTATATCACATATAGGTAATATGAACGTGTATGTAACACACACATGTACCTATACGGTGTGCGTCGATACTGACCAAAATAAATCGAAAGAATACCAAATAATATAAATCATGAACTATAAAATATGACTACGACGGTTCGGGTTATTTAATAATGCGGTGTTAAAATAGCATAATATAATATGTCGGTACTATAATAATTAAACTTGTATAAAAAATGAAATATATTTTTAGAAACACGGTGTGGTGTAGTGTAACACATAGAAWAGGTTGACATGACGATTGCTAGCGAACGGTATTTAGTCGGAAAACGCGTTGTCCTCTTCAATTGGGACGTGGCGTAGTCTTTGTTCCACTTGGCGTTTTGATATGAAACGAAAGCATAACAATGAAACCTCTACACGGTCTCTACGCTTTCTTTTTCTCATCTACTAAAGCAGTAGCAGTGACAGTCAAATATTTTCCGTATACATACTATAATAATCAAAAAACTGCGAAAAATTTTACTAAATTTTTTAGAATGTCATGTTTACATTATGACGTTAATATTTACAATATATAACCGTATCAGTATATTTTACCAATGTTTGTGTWCATTAAGTTATATTTTGTATTCTATAATATTTCATATAAATTCGTTATCATCATATTATCGATAAATTTTATAGACGTCATGTCGGTGCAATATACGATCGGATATCGACCCTGACCTAAGGGGAAACCGATTCATATGCGCCAAATGTTTTTTCTTTACAGTATACTATTTCCGTAGATTTTTGCGTCTCTGCCAAACATAATTTCTTATTCATAATCACTCTGTAAGAATAGAACATTAGTCAACTTTTAACAAGGCCATATAGATTCAATGAAAATTTTACTTAATCAGCATAATWATTGTTATCTATATTGTACCTATATAAGTATTAAGTAGTATATATTATGTATATTTAGGAACGGTGTTGGCATGATTTAAGAAATTACAATTTACCTCTATTCCGAGTTAATATTATAATATTAATGTTTTAATTATGTTTTCAGGGCTGTAACAGATCCACGAGACGGGCGAAGAGTTGCGTTGAAAAAGCTTCCAAATGTTTTTCAATCACTAGTCTCCTCGAAACGAGTTTTTAGAGAATTAAAAATGTTATGTAATTTCAAGCACGAAAATGTAAGTTTTTTTAAAAGCTAGACTTATACTGTCGTTTTTAATGCTAAAACTTATTATCAATTTTTGTTTTACTTTTATAGGTATTATCCGCCCTTGACATTCTGCAACCGCCTCATTTGGATTTCTTTCAAGAAATGTATCCTTTTTAATTTTTATCATGTTATAATCGACCACAGGTAGGCCATGCCATTTATAGGCAATCCGGAAAAATTTGTTATATTTTCCGTAATAATTATCATGGTGTGTGCGTGCGCTCKTGATGAAGTGATGGATAATTCGATGACATTAAATTGTAGAGTGGTATAGGATCGTGCATTCCTATCGAACTAATACGAATTAGTCACCCGGTTTATAACAATGTTACCTACCTCGCCATTATAAACCAGTATTTCCTGTCTCTTCTTTGTTTCTCATAGGTCTTTAGTAATATAGCGGGTTTATTCGCCCTAGACTGGGCGGCTGTTTGACGCAGCCGCGAGCCGCACATATTCATATTCATTATTTGGATGAAATATTTTATAACTGCAAAGTAGAAGAATAAGTACCTAATGAATTTTGTTATAGGTGCGCATAGGTGTTTGCACACGCGTGTGCGCGTGTGTGTAATAATTCGTATGTATCTAATGTATATAATGTAGGTACATTCGTACATAATATTTTTTTTTGTATTTTCAAAATACATTGGAATCTTGTGTTGTGTCTATAGGTACTATTGTGCGTGTGTGTTACTAAAGACAACCACGTATATTGTGTTTATGGTAAATGGTTTCTTTCGACTGWATATGCCTCTGACATTATTGTTGTGTATATGATAATACTCGGAACTGTCGGAACGACAAAATGATTATTTAGRTAGTGAATAATGTATATGTAGTATGAAGATGGTACGATCTTTTTAACTTACTATCTCTTACGAATGATTTTTTTTTCAATTTTAGGTGTAAACTTCTATAAATTATAATGACAATTGACAAGTAAAGATGACTCCATCCTTATTGAATTATGAATACAAAAAAAGATTCATAGAAATGCCAAAAATAAAATCCACTTGTGTATTTAAAAAGTTAAACAAKAAGTTATCTTGTCAATGATGRAAACTGTTTTTAATAACATCTCCTAATACTAAAATTTCGTATCAATTTACCGACTAATAAATTTTGCTTCTAAACTATAAAATAATTTGTAAATGTTTACTGCGCTACGCTTATCTTATTTGCTCTTAGTGTACGGATGTGGTGTTTGGAAAATCTCTGAATTTACGTTACATCCTGTGAAAAAAGGCTACAATGCCACAACGGTGATCAGTAGACCGTTTGAACATGTGAGGGTGAAGGTCGTTCAACTCCCCATGTTTTCCTGTCGATCGCCCTTCGTGTAAGTTGTAAGTACACGTTATTCCCCTTTTTAATTTTTTTTCTGTTAACGGTTAGTTTTTGAGTTAAAACCAGTTGAGTTGACTGCGGGGACGCGTTTATATAATATAATGCGGGTTTTATTCGAGGAATACTGTAACAGCCCTCGTTTGTGTTAACTCATTTTTCCTTAATCATCTGGTCTAATCAATAATATTGTTTATTGTATTAAATTGTATAATATAAAGAGAAGGGGAGATATGTAGGTATAGTAATATAATGCTCCGGTTTTTGTAATCCTGTTTAATTGTGTTAGACCTTGTAAATATTTTTTCAAGCACAAATTTTGTATATAGGTATCAATATATTATTTAAATAAAAGACACTAATAATGGTGAATTATTGGGCATGAATTTTAATTTAAAGTTTAACCCTATCTCTTAAAAACCTAATTGGAAACTCGATTTAATATTATTTTGTTTCGTTAAATAAATACGTTAGATTATATTTACATTTTTCTTAAACAAAATCATCCAAACATCTAAAGACTAAAATATCTGCACGATTGTACATAATACAAATTATTTTTGGATATTATTTTCGTTTCACNTAAAACATGATTTTCGCATTTAGTCAGTACTTTCTAAAAATATATTGAATTCAAGTGATGAAACCCAACAAAAATCAATAAACAATATCGAATCGTCCTTTTATCAATAAATAATATTTTTTAATTACTTTAATGTTTTCGATTTTAGACTATTATTATTATTGGTAAGAAAATTATATAATACTCCCTAATGACGAAATGCTTATTGTTATAAAGTATCTTTTTTTCTCTCTCTACCTATGTGCGTGGATCACCATTAATGGCTGTAGAACGTTTAATATAGTAGTGATATACGTTTTATAAATGTTGTATGATGTACCTACGTTGTAAATATTCTAAAATAATGTATTTGAGTGTTTGACCATAGTACAGTTGTTATTAAAAACTCAATAGCAACTTTACATAATTCGGTGCAAAAGTCTTGGCGGTTAATAATGACTAAAGTGTCTTATTGCTGAAATTTGTTCATCACGATAGAATCTCGAACGATTGAAAATTCGACATTTTTAGCAAAGTATTATTTTTCCCTTACTAGGCTGACGCACGCCCACGTCTTGTGATATAACGAGGAAGTATATTATACAAAACAAAAAATTGGAATTTCGAAATAGACAAACTTTTGCGCATGAACACTTTTAGTTAGTTTATAGATTACAAATAATATTATTGTCGTGGGTCAATGTTAACATTATCGTGCCGCTGCGTGTACACAAGTATACGCATAACGTGTGGTGAACATATATATATATATATATATATTATACAACTACGCCGTTAAGTTGATCAAACCATATTTAATTTAGTGATCCGTTCGAGTAGAGTTTTGTGTGCTATACGCATTTAATATATAGTGGGGCGGACAACGGGTACAACAACCTAGTCAGTCGTCGCTGCTGCTACATTAAATGAATCGATATTTACGTCGCTCGCATACCATATAGGCCTCCGTGTTCTGAATGTATATCGTCGTTTAGAAGCCAACAGTTCCCAGCAACGTCCTGTGTCAGAATGGCATGTAGGTATATTATATAGAATGTGTATTTGAGTGTAGAAGGGTCATTGTTCACGGGGTATTTTTAATGAATATTATTATTATGTAAAAAAAAATAATAATAACCTAACCTTATAGTATATACTTATGTGTGTACCTAAATAATAAACACAAACCCGAGGAGAGAAAGACAACCCACTAGAGAATTCGACTGCGGTACTCTGCTGCAGTACATGCGCATGCGTATACCGTTATATGAGGCATAACACTAATTTCCCACGAAGAAAACCATCGTGTGACCAGACGCGCGTTTCAAATAAACAGTTTCAACTCCCTCCCTCTACTAATCGAACGTTTTATAAACTTGTATCTTATGATATTATATATTAGATACTTACTTGAATTTATTATTCGCTCTCATTATACAAATTCGGGTTAAAAACCTATTCTGTCAATAAAAGATGATTATAATACGCGTATGAACAAGAACTCTTGTGACGCGCGACGACGCAGCACTTAATAATTTTTTTTATTATTATTAGCTATGTATTATTATTATATTTTTGTGATGCACATGTGTTGTTTTATTGTTGAATTTTGTATTATGTGTGTGTACAACAGGGAGGCCATGTATTATTAGGTATTCAGATATATATACATGTATACGGGTGTATGTGTGTTTCGTGTATGCATGCTTATTTGTGGTTGAGAATTCTAACCGATGCTAGTGGTGGTCGGCTGCTGTATGTAAGATTGCAAGCTGTGGTATGTCAGCCACCTGCTGGATTGTAACAGGCAGTAATCGAGGCTCCGGTACAGGTGTCYGCAAAAGTAGTACCTTATATGTTAAGTAGAAATCGTATAAAAACAAAAATAACATCGATATGTTTTGATATATAATAGTTAAATTGGTATATATTCGTATGTATAAATAATTAATAATAATTATATATTTATAATTTATATATGGTTGCGTGTGGGGAGTGAAACGATTGTAAAGGAACCGCGGCGAGAGTAGGAGATACACATCTTTATCAGACCAAATAATATGTGCAGTCTGAAAACGGTGTATGTGCCTGGTAGCGCTCGTATAGAAGTTATTAAATGAATATATTATGTCCTTGAAACTTATATCACATATAGGTAATATGAACGTGTATGTAACACACACATGTACCTATACGGTGTGCGTCGATACTGACCAAAATAAATCGAAAGAATACCAAATAATATAAATCATGAACTATAAAATATGACTACGACGGTTCGGGTTATTTAATAATGCGGTGTTAAAATAGCATAATATAATATGTCGGTACTATAATAATTAAACTTGTATAAAAAATGAAATATATTTTTAGAAACACGGTGTGGTGTAGTGTAACACATAGAAWAGGTTGACATGACGATTGCTAGCGAACGGTATTTAGTCGGAAAACGCGTTGTCCTCTTCAATTGGGACGTGGCGTAGTCTTTGTTCCACTTGGCGTTTTGATATGAAACGAAAGCATAACAATGAAACCTCTACACGGTCTCTACGCTTTCTTTTTCTCATCTACTAAAGCAGTAGCAGTGACAGTCAAATATTTTCCGTATACATACTATAATAATCAAAAAACTGCGAAAAATTTTACTAAATTTTTTAGAATGTCATGTTTACATTATGACGTTAATATTTACAATATATAACCGTATCAGTATATTTTACCAATGTTTGTGTACATTAAGTTATATTTTGTATTCTATAATATTTCATATAAATTCGTTATCATCATATTATCGATAAATTTTATAGACGTCATGTCGGTGCAATATACGATCGGATATCGACCCTGACCTAAGGGGAAACCGATTCATATGCGCCAAATGTTTTTTCTTTACAGTATACTATTTCCGTAGATTTTTGCGTCTCTGCCAAACATAATTTCTTATTCATAATCACTCTGTAAGAATAGAACATTAGTCAACTTTTAACAAGGCCATATAGATTCAATGAAAATTTTACTTAATCAGCATAATWATTGTTATCTATATTGTACCTATATAAGTATTAAGTAGTATATATTATGTATATTTAGGAACGGTGTTGGCATGATTTAAGAAATTACAATTTACCTCTATTCCGAGTTAATATTATAATATTAATGTTTTAATTATGTTTTCAGGGCTGTAACAGATCCACGAGACGGGCGAAGAGTTGCGTTGAAAAAGCTTCCAAATGTTTTTCAATCACTAGTCTCCTCGAAACGAGTTTTTAGAGAATTAAAAATGTTATGTAATTTCAAGCACGAAAATGTAAGTTTTTTTAAAAGCTAGACTTATACTGTCGTTTTTAATGCTAAAACTTATTATCAATTTTTGTTTTACTTTTATAGGTATTATCCGCCCTTGACATTCTGCAACCGCCTCATTTGGATTTCTTTCAAGAAATGTATCCTTTTTAATTTTTATCATGTTATAATCGACCACAGGTAGGCCATGCCATTTATAGGCAATCCGGAAAAATTTGTTATATTTTCCGTAATAATTATCATGGTGTGTGCGTGCGCTCKTGATGAAGTGATGGATAATTCGATGACATTAAATTGTAGAGTGGTATAGGATCGTGCATTCCTATCGAACTAATACGAATTAGTCACCCGGTTTATAACAATGTTACCTACCTCGCCATTATAAACCAGTATTTCCTGTCTCTTCTTTGTTTCTCATAGGTCTTTAGTAATATAGCGGGTTTATTCGCCCTAGACTGGGCGGCTGTTTGACGCAGCCGCGAGCCGCACATATTCATATTCATTATTTGGATGAAATATTTTATAACTGCAAAGTAGAAGAATAAGTACCTAATGAATTTTGTTATAGGTGCGCATAGGTGTTTGCACACGCGTGTGCGCGTGTGTGTAATAATTCGTATGTATCTAATGTATATAATGTAGGTACATTCGTACATAATATTTTTTTTTGTATTTTCAAAATACATTGGAATCTTGTGTTGTGTCTATAGGTACTATTGTGCGTGTGTGTTACTAAAGACAACCACGTATATTGTGTTTATGGTAAATGGTTTCTTTCGACTGWATATGCCTCTGACATTATTGTTGTGTATATGATAATACTCGGAACTGTCGGAACGACAAAATGATTATTTAGRTAGTGAATAATGTATATGTAGTATGAAGATGGTACGATCTTTTTAACTTACTATCTCTTACGAATGATTTTTTTTTCAATTTTAGGTGTAAACTTCTATAAATTATAATGACAATTGACAAGTAAAGATGACTCCATCCTTATTGAATTATGAATACAAAAAAAGATTCATAGAAATGCCAAAAATAAAATCCACTTGTGTATTTAAAAAGTTAAACAAKAAGTTATCTTGTCAATGATGRAAACTGTTTTTAATAACATCTCCTAATACTAAAATTTCGTATCAATTTACCGACTAATAAATTTTGCTTCTAAACTATAAAATAATTTGTAAATGTTTACTGCGCTACGCTTATCTTATTTGCTCTTAGTGTACGGATGTGGTGTTTGGAAAATCTCTGAATTTACGTTACATCCTGTGAAAAAAGGCTACAATGCCACAACGGTGATCAGTAGACCGTTTGAACATGTGAGGGTGAAGGTCGTTCAACTCCCCATGTTTTCCTGTCGATCGCCCTTCGTGTAAGTTGTAAGTACACGTTATTCCCCTTTTTAATTTTTTTTCTGTTAACGGTTAGTTTTTGAGTTAAAACCAGTTGAGTTGACTGCGGGGACGCGTTTATATAATATAATGCGGGTTTTATTCGAGGAATACTGTAACAGCCCTCGTTTGTGTTAACTCATTTTTCCTTAATCATCTGGTCTAATCAATAATATTGTTTATTGTATTAAATTGTATAATATAAAGAGAAGGGGAGATATGTAGGTATAGTAATATAATGCTCCGGTTTTTGTAATCCTGTTTAATTGTGTTAGACCTTGTAAATATTTTTTCAAGCACAAATTTTGTATATAGGTATCAATATATTATTTAAATAAAAGACACTAATAATGGTGAATTATTGGGCATGAATTTTAATTTAAAGTTTAACCCTATCTCTTAAAAACCTAATTGGAAACTCGATTTAATATTATTTTGTTTCGTTAAATAAATACGTTAGATTATATTTACATTTTTCTTAAACAAAATCATCCAAACATCTAAAGACTAAAATATCTGCACGATTGTACATAATACAAATTATTTTTGGATATTATTTTCGTTTCACYGTACCTAGTAGCGTTTATAATTTCYTTTTAACATGGTATTATTTTAATAGATAGCTTTCAAGTTTAAGATATCTGCGTACCTAGCGTATTCGTTTTCTTTCTCTGTTCGTCATGCAATATAGACAAAAACATTTATGTAAAATCTCTTTTTTTTATGTTGTCTTTGAGTAAATTCATTTATTAAAAAATTATATTTTTGAAATTTTGGCATATAGCTATCTAAATATTATCACATAATTATTTAATATTCATTTAAATTTCTGCATTTTTTTTTAAGTCTAGTTAAAAATTAAGTAATAATAATTAAGTAATAATAATTAAGTATAAAACCGATATGTCAAACCCTCAAAAATATCACCCTCTGATTTTATTAATAGAATATATTGCTCTAAAGTTACTAAAACATAGAAAAACGATTTTACGTGACTGTTTTATTTTGGTATGTTGTGATCTTGAGAGAGAAAACAAATATTTTCGTTGACATCCTCTTAATATTTTTATAATTATTTTTTTTTTTTTTTTAAGTGAGAATTTATAATCTATCATTAAAAAATATGTTGACTGGCGCCTTTTTTATTGTTCTAAAATACAATTGTGATGTTTTTCGTTCTTTTTCATTCTCTTAATTTTATCTTAAATATCAATTACCAAGTACACTGCAGTCCASCACCAAATTATATTCTGTAATAGCTGAGGATTGTTATTGTATTAAAATTTTTATTACCATTTAAAGAAGACGCTACTCACGCATTTGTTGTCTCTGTCTTACGAGTACGTAACATTGCAAATTTTCGCTCTGCAAAATACCTTCAGATTTTTTTATTTTAAAAATGAGTGTGAACCTACCTATTTTGAAACTTAATGGTAAGAAATTTAGCTATGTTTGTTTACATGTGGGTTTTTACGATACTACAATTTTTTAGCAAGTTTAGCGTAGGTACATAATATAGCATAATTAAAAATACTCATAACTCACTTATAAACTGAATTTATATCGTAAAAAAACAATCCATTTACAACCATAATATATATATATATGTTCTTAAGATCAAGTTTCATAATAGGTAGATTTACTCTAATTTTTGAACTAACGAAGCTAAACGTGAAGTGCTGAGTGTAAATTTGGTATGTTACGCACTTCAAAGAAATAACAAATAGCGTCCTCTTAAACTAGCTTTTAAAGTTTTGGACAAATTTTGTGATGCTAACAAAAAAGTGAATAGCACGATCATRGGCGTACGCATAGGGTATGTTAGGCCGCGGCTCCTCGTGTAGCCTGTAGCCTCTGGCCTTTTCTTTAATAAATGCATAGATATTTGATATCTATACTAGATTGTTTTTATATTTGCATATGGAATTAAATAAATAGGTATTTTATAAATTTTACAGTTTTATATTTAACTATACAAGTAACCATTAATATAAGAATATTTAGTAATTGGATGAGACCTTTTACATTGCGGATGGTCTGCGCACGTCTACTTATGAGTGTGATATGTTTAATTATGTATTATTGATAATTAGATCATGATTTTCCTTGTTAACGAAATAAATTCAATTAGAAAAATAATATTATGGGTAAGGGTAATCGGAAAAAAAATCCMCAGACTAAAATATTACTCACAACCTCATTCACAAATATTTTTTCAACGACAATTTTGGTATCTATAATAACCACATTATTAATATTTAATTACAAATACGTATATTATATTATATTATACTATATTATTAATTATATCATTCAATAAATTAATATAGTTGTTAGAAAAACAAAGTTTTTATTAAAAAATTATATTTTTAAATATTTTTTATCCTTATAATTTTAACTAAAAATATCTATAAAAAATACCGAGTACCTAGTATGTCCCATAGAGTATTTTAGATTTTTTTCAAACACTTATGAGAAACCTTGTTTTAAATTTGCAATACTTAGCTATAGAAATTGAAAATTTTTTGCATTTTTAGAAAATGTTTGTAATTTTTGGTATTAATTATTTTTGTTTTCCGTTATAATAAGTACATTTAAAAATGTCAACAGTTTTTTGTCTAATATAAAAAGTCATAATCATAACGTTTGATTTATAAATAGCTCTAAAATATTTTGAAAATGTTATCATACATTCATACATTGAAAACATCATATAAACATTTGTTGAAAATTTCAAAAAACCACAAACAATTTTATTATTATATGTTTTTACTGTGAATAGGTGCCTACGTTTAATGATTATTGTTTGATTATTATTAATTTTATTATTATTATCTATATTTTGTATTATTGACGCATTAATTATTCGAAATATTTTTATAATTTATGCTATGGTTTTACTGTGAGTAGGTGTTAATTAACGTTTAAAAATATAATATGTTCAACCATTTTTATGAGGTTGTGAATAATATTGCGGCCTGGGGATTTTTTTTCCTAGGGTTGGGGATTTTTTTTCCGCAATTCATAATTATTATCATGATATGGGTTTCATGAAAATTTTGGCCAACAAGGAAAACTAGAATGTGTCATAACAGTTTTTAATATCGTTTTTGCACTCGTTTTGTATAATGACGCATACTTTATTATGAATGTAGAGTAGCAAGTGGTGCTTTGTATAATATAACATGTTCAAGTCGATACGGTGTATTAATATAAATCAATAAAGGAAAAGCCGGCGTTGCTAAATAATTTCCTCGGAATTTTCTATACTACGTGGGGCTTTCTGATATTTATAATTTTAAKGATGATAACGACTAGAACCATTCTACCATAATGAATAAAAAGAAGGTACCACACTTTCTCTTCTAATCGCGAGTTGGAAACGGGAAAATTGATTTTTTCTGTTGTATTTTTATTTTTATTTCTTCGTCGGCGGCAGTCTAATACTCTAATACGCATTATAACTATATGTACTACTATAGTCGCTCTTATAATATTATTTTTTAGCTCTCTACTTCTCTAGTCTCTGCAGTGTCGTCTTGCATGACGGGTATAATATTGTTTTGTCGGTGTCTTATGCAGCAGAAGGACACCGCGCAGGGCTGTAATGCGGGTACCTGTACCTCCCTATATTTATCGTCTCCGCCATTGTCTGGGACGCATTCCGAAAACTCCGTGTATAAAGGGTCCGTCGTTATATACTATTCTCCTCTGGGTGTGTGTTTGTGTGTGTTTAAGTGCAT